ATACATTTTTTGATGATTCACATATCAGTGACGACAGGTCTCATGAGTTCCCCAAACAAACTGAATCATCTTTCATTTGACTATGAGCTTAAAATCCGTTCTGCAAAAGTGATGCAGTTATGAACAATGGTTTGGTCATGTGCGCGGCTTTGGCAGATTTTTCGTACCTATCATATCTTACACTTGTCAAAAATTATCAATAGCGCTAGAAGAAAAAGAAATGCAGTGCTTGACCATCACTTGAAATGGAGCTATTTTTGTACTTACAAAACAGTAGATGCGAATTGGCACGAATCAATGAAACTTGGGAAGTAGTTGAGTACAGACAATAAAAAAGTTCACATACAGTTCTCCTGCAGCGGTCATTCGTTGTCGTTCATCTTCGGAAAGCACAGGTTGCGAATCTCCAAGTAGCCGTTCTTCATCCTCATTGTCGAGAAGACCAAAACGAGTATCATTTTCTGACACCATTCCATTCTTCTTGGCTTCCTGAGGTGGTTGAGGTGTCACATCTTCAAGTGGTCGATGAGGAACTGATGGCAGCGGTCCATTAGCACCATTATAGCTATACGACTCGGGCAGAATAATCTTCCGAGACAGCTCGTCCTGCTCGTGGACGGTGGACATGCCTGGAAAACGTGATGAATGGAAAGGAGACTGGTTTCTGTCAGCACGTTAGATATTCAAAGCAAGCAGTGCGTTCTTGAAATAAAGCGAAGATTATGCTATTCGCTGCATACTAGTCTAAGTAGAAAGATAGAGACTACATCATCAACTATACTCACACAAGACAAGCAATTTCTTGAAGAAAGAACAGAAATGAATATAACGCAATGCGATAGTACCAAATTAGAGACAAATATTTCTAGAAACTCCATTTTTCGTGAAGCTTAAAAGCAACAAGCGCTTGCATTGCACAAGCTTCCACTGATAAATGAGAAGAGAATCTAAATTTGCATAGGACTTTAAGACTGATGATTATAATCAGAAATCGTCGCACATCTTTCTATATTCAAATTGTGCAAAATATGACCGTCACCTTTCCTTAGACATACAATTGAGATATGCATTTTTCGATTCCCAAAATGGACGTTTGCGAATTGTTGTAGGAAAAATATATAAAAAGGTAATGTGGCGAGCTTTTGAAGATATGTAAAAGGGTAATGTGGTACATCTTTTTAATGAACAGGTTTTTTCATTGTTTTAAAGAACTGGAAAAAGTAGCCAATAACTTAGGAGGTTCGGTAAACGGCACCCCAGCCAACGGCCGGATCGCAATATAACGCCGGGTGGGTCAACTAGGGTA